CTTCATCGAAATCACCTTCATAGTCACGTATCGTGATCACGTACAGTGGTGTGGCTCACCCCGATCTTAACCTCCTTGAAATCCAACTGAAGCCAAACATAGCTTCAAATTCTCGATAGTCACAACCTTCGTCAACATATCTGCAGGATTTTGAGCTGTATGTATCTGCTCCGGGAACAACTACTCATCTTCAAGAAGAGAGAAAATGAAATGATACCTCAGCGGAATGTGTTTCATCTTAACATGAAAAACAACGTTCTTAGTAAGATGAATTGCACTCATACTGTCACTGTAGAGTTTTTTAATCCCTTGCTCCGTGCCCATTTTTGTCATGAAACTCTATAGCCAAATCTTCTCCTTGCTAGCTTCAGTGATAGCAATATATTAAGCCTCCATAGTTGAAAGTGCAACGATCTTTTGCAACCTGAAAACCCAACTCACTATTGTGTTCCCGAATGTAAAGATATACCCCATTGTACTTCTACTGTCAACATCTCTTGCCAGATCTGAATCTAAAAATACCCCTGTAGACTGATCCCTGCACTTCCATAACAAAGTGCCCTGTTGACTGTTCCTCGTAAATGTCTGAGAATCTACTTTACCGCCTCTCAATGATATCTACATTGATTATCAATGTACCTGCTGACCACTCTCACTGCGTATGCAATATTTGGTCTGATACAAATCATCGCATAAATCAAACTTCCAACTTTTGAAGCTTATGGAATTCTCTCCATCTGTGTTTTCTCTGCTTCAAAGTTAGGCGATAACTCCTTAGATAGCTTGAAGTGACTACCTAAGGGAGTGATAACTAGTTTCGCTTCAAATGTTGAACCTCTGTAGGATCTTCTCAACCTATTTTGCCTGAGATAACTTCAGTGTTCCTGCACTCTTGTTCCTGCAGGATCTTTCTACTTGGACCTAATCCTTTATCTCGAACTCCCTTGATAACTATTTTTCCAAGTCTGGCTTTCTTCATATCTGCCCCTGCAATCAGCATGTCATCCAGATACAAAAGAAGTAAAATATAATAGTTCCCAAAGTATTTGATGAACCAACTGTGAACTGTTTGACACTTCAAGTACCCATTATCTGACATGAAGTACTGCTGTCTCAGGGCTAGTTTTAAGTCATGAAGGCTTTTCTTCAATCTGCAGACCAAACCTTCTTTGTCTGGATCCTTGTAATCTTGTTGTTAGCTCCTCCTCTAGATCTTCATGTAAGAAAGCTATTTTTACATTCATCTGTTCCAGATGTAGATCTTCTTCTGCTATCAGACTCAGCACAACTCTGACAGTAATCATCTTCACCATTGGGGAGAGGATCTCTATATAATACACTTCTTCCCTCTGCTGGAAACCCTTCACAACAATTCTTGCCTTGTGTGTTTGCTATAATCTGACTGCTCTTTCAGTCTGTAGACCCATATTGTTGTGTAGTGTTCTTTTGTCATTTGGTAGTATTGTTAAATTCCAAGTCTGATTTAATTTCAAAGATTGCATTTCATACATAGAAGCTCCCACTTTCTTGAATCTTCAACCTGAGTGGCCTCCTTAAAACACTCTGGGTCACCACTATCAGTTAGTAACAAATAGTATAAAGAAGAAAAATACTCGAGTACAAGTTATATCACTCTGTTGGATCTTCTGACTTTTGTAGTGGAAGACTGAGGTATTTCCAGTGCTCCTCTCGTTGAGCACTTCTTTCTCCGCCTTCATGATCACCAATATCATATATCTCCATATATTTGGATTCTTCAGAAGTAGTTGACGGGCTATCCTGAGTTTTGACCCTGTCCTTGTAGATCTTCATTTTGTTAAAAGTGTCTGCTTCTAATGAATTTCTGATTCTGATAATCCCAGAGCTTGTAGTCAAACTTATCTAAGTCTTATCCTATGAAAGTGTACTTGATAGTTTTTGAGTTAAGCTTGCTTCTAGAACCTGCATCAACATGCACATATGAACACCCAAATACTCTTAAATGAGATAGATTTACCTTTTTATTACTCCAAACTTCTTTAGGTAAGCCTTCCTCCAAAGGTACTAACGGAATACAATTGATCAAATAAACTGTAGTGTTTTCTGCTTTAGCCCAAAATTGCTTTGGCAAGCCTGCATGCAGTCTCATGCTTCTAGCATGCTCCGTGTTGTTCTGTTCATGCTGTTGTGGTGTCCTTGGGATATTGAACTCATCTCTGACCCCCTCTATAGCACAGAATTTCTTGAACTTCTGATCACAATACTCACACTCATTATCTGATCTGAGACACTTCAACTTTAAGCATCTCAATTTCTACCATAGTTTTTCACTTAAGTACTTCAAATACATCAGATATATACATATACATTTCTCGTGTGATCATCAATAAATGTGACAAAATAGTGAGAACCTGCAATGGACTGAACTGGAGTAGGACCACATACATTAGTATACACTAACTCAAGTTTCTTTGATTTCAGCATTGACCCGTTCTTGGAGAAATAAACCTTCTTATGCTTGCCATATATACAGTCTTCACAGAAATCTAAATCAACTAATTTCAAAGTTTGAAGCTTATTCTTCGAAAGTAGGGACTTCATATCTTTCTCGCTCATATGGTCAAGTCTACAGTGCCACAGATCTGCATCCACCCTTGTTTCAGCCACATCAATGAAATCAGTTATTTCATTAATCAAATAAAGGGTGGCTTCAATGTTGCCCCAAGCCATCACTATTGCCCCCTAGTCACCTTTCACGATTCACCTGTGAAAGTAGTCACAAATCCTGACTTTACTAGTTAACTCACTAAGATAAGATTTCTTTTTAAACTTGGAACATGTCTAACTTCATTAAGTTTCCAGACTGTTCCATTCGGCAACTTGACCCTTTCTTACTATATTGGATGCCTTATTATTTCCCAAATAAACATTCCTTAGATCGAGTGTATTTTTTAAATACCTTTTTATAGGGGCAAACATGAAAAGAGGCACTTGAATCCACTATCCAGGATTCAGTACTGACTAGAAATAACACCAGGAAGTCACTTTGGATTTCACCAGTGAAGACATTAGTAGAGTAACTACTTTCATATCCTTCAACACCAGTTTTCCTTAGAGCTTTACATTTCTTCTTGAAATGTCCCTTCTTATCGCACTTCCAGCATTCTCCTTTGCATGACTTGGGCTTTCCTTTCTTAGACTTAGATATGTCTCTTTCTGTATTCTTGCCTAGATTCCTTCTCCTGTTATCAACATTCATCGCAGAATCTGAAGATTTATCATTTATTGCTTTTTTGCGAACTTCTTCATTCAGCATCAGACCCACGTATCATCAAAGTTCAACTTTGAAGTCCCAGAAGAATTACTCACCGTCGTTACCAAACCTTCCCCTGTTGTACGACAATGAAGATAGTACACCAGTGTTATGACCTCATCATTAAATTTGATTCCCACAAAACACAACCGACTCATCATAGTGTTGTAAGTTATTAAGATGTTCTGCCACTGAACTGTCTTTCGTCATTTTCATGTTAAATAATTTCTTCATCAGACCTTCCACCAAGGAAGCAGAAGGTTTTTTCGTACATCTTGGCCTGTGCCGCCATGAGATCCACCGTAATTTTTTCATTCACAATGTTGAACGCAACAAATAAAGAAAGTGACAACCAGATCAAACCTAATATTGTTCGATTCAACACTTCTCATTCTTTCATAGGCATAGAATCAAGCTTTCTTGTGATTCCTTGTAGTAACAAATATAATTTTTTTTTCTGATACAACAAATCATCCACCTGCATCTTTCATAAAGCAAAGTTCATCCCATTGAACTTCTCCACTGTGAATTTTGCTTCTTCGGTTATTGCTCCCACTTGAATCAAACCCTGTTCTAATACCGGTTTGACAGGGAAATACAAGAATAATTCTCAAATTTACTGGGGCTTATGATCAATTAGAAACTAAACTACACCGCAGAATAATGAGATCACACCAATTCGAGAAAATTGGAACAAACTCCAAGTAGAAAGCACATCAAAGCAACCAGAATTTACGATAAAAACTCGAGAATGAGAAAAAAACTACGGAGTCACATCACCAGAAATTTCACTATGAAATTCAGAAAATGTTTACAAAGAACTCACAGAAGTTTCCTCTCTACATGAAGAAACTTTGCAGGATACACTACACAATCTTCCCTCTCCAATCTAACACAAAAATCATGTTGAATCACTGAAATCCACTTCGACACAAAAAATGTTAAAAATAGTCACTTGACTTTTTGCAGAAGGTCAGTTTAGTCCTAGTATTTATAAACCAGACTTTTTAAATGTGTGATAATAGTCTTCACGGAGGATTATTTCAATCCTAAGTTGAAGAATTTTTTAACTAATTTGATAAGTTATAAACTTTGAAACTAAAATAATTCTATATAAGCAGTCAGTGGACTATTTTGACACACTACTCTTTTATTTCTAATTTATCTAATGCAAGCAAAGCTTCATCAATTAAATGAAGAGGAAAGTTCATGGTACTTGTGATCTTCTCTATATGTAGCTTTTGCGTCTATTTTGGATAACAATGTTGAAAATATTTCACATTTTCTATATGATGATGAAATCCTAGTAGCACAACTTCAAAAGAAGTGCATTATTCCGAGTGACTAGTGGCATTGAAGGGCAAGGTCTGCTGCAAATGTTGATCGCAGAAATTCCAATCAAACTCTGAGCCTCGCACCGAGTCTGGCGAAGACTATTCCATGCAATACAATTAAGATGATGTTATAAAACTATGACTACACTGTGGAAATGCTCTCCCGACTCAATTAGCAAAAGCTTATAATGAAAGAGAAAGAACAGAGATTATTTTTTATTCTTCTGGATCTATAAAAAACACTAGCATTGGCTTAATTATAATTACATTTGATGTTTCATCAGGTGTCCTTAATATCAACATTACCAACACTAGCATTAATCATTTTACATTGCCTTCTGTCCAATCAATTGATATTGAACAATTCTTACCAGGTAGGAGGGCAAGGCGCTTGGATTTTCTTCAAGCTGATGCGGTACCTGGAGCTCAGGATCCCGAGAAATTTAGTTTTTGGGTACTTTCAGTTTCCCATATTCCTTTTGCAATATACAGCTTGCACAACCCTTTATTTCCTTCAAATTAATTTCTGGACAGCTTGTGAATCTTCTAAACCTGAAACCCTCTGAGAGGCTGAACTTGCTACGAATGAGAGATACAAGAGAGGTAAACTTTCAGAAATTACAAATAATTATGCTACTTCATTGCTGTTAATTTTGTTTATATTTCTATTTCAGAGGATTTCCTGCGGGCTTAACATCCTGAGGAGAACTGAAGAGCAGGGCTGCTTGGTCCAGTAACAGGAAAGTTTTTTGAACTAATTTTTCCTTTCATGATCAAGTATATAGTCTGTTGATCCTTTAATAAGACGGGCATATGATTGTCCAGCTTTTTTACCTGACTATTTTTTTCACTATTTCCTTATTGTAAAATACTGAGAAGTTATGTATTTGGAACATTTACTTGTATACCACTCGAGCCCTATGTATTTACATATTTATCATCTAAAATTTAATTTTTACATATATGTCATCTTACCTATGCATGAAAAGATGTATTTCACTTCTTAAAAGTTAAGATAGTAGTATTTTTGTTGGGATGTGAAAGATTTGGGTGGTATAAATGTAAAAAAATAAAGTTTAAATGTTGGATATATAAATACATAGGAATTGCGCGTTGCGTATGTAAATGCCCCTATATATTTACATGTATGTATTTAATGTCAAGTATTTTTTTTTTGCTGTATCACTTTTTGTTTAGTTTTCTTCTCTTTATCTCAATAATTATGTTCTTCAAATATGCATTAAACTAATTTAACATAAATGATGCAATTTGAAAATAAAATTAGTATCCTTGCATTTGGACTGCATGCATAGCACAAATTTAAGATTCTGGAGGGATTATAATGCTATTGACATCACCAATTGTCTTCCAGAGACTGGAACTTAATTTCTGTAGCTTTCTGAAAACAAGGGAGGATAAAATTATATGCTTAACTGGATTGGAGCAATCTTTCTTTGTTTCCCTCATTGGAGAATGAATCAAATATAGATTTAAGCTAATTAGTCATGCATTACAATGCTTTAAGAAAATTAGGGGCTTTTCAATACATACCACACAAGTTTTATATGTTTACATATCAACACCTAAACTTTTATATAAATTTAAGATCATTATTTGTTGTTGATGAATTTTTCAAATTACTATCTTTGTCAAACCATCTTTGATTGTCTACTGTTGTCAAACCATTATTGCTAGCCGCCATAGTCCGTCTACTGTCGCTTGTTCGTCGTTACCTGATCGTTCAACTATCATCATCTTCCTGTTATTGTCGAACCACTAATATTCAATTGTTATTGTTCAAGTGTCACTATTTAACTATTGTAATGTAATCTTTTGACTATCATTACCTAATTGTCATCACTTGAACACCATCTTTTGGCAATCCTCAATGCTTGATCTTTATCTCTTCACTATCATTCTATTGTTGACATAAGAGTCAGATTAGTGTTCCCATATTCTTAATCCTGCATTTTTTTTTTCTTATATATTTTCCTATATTTTATGCACTTTAAAATTTTGTTTGCCCTATATATATATATCAAATATGTATTTGTAAATAATTTTTATCAATATTTAATTTTATTGAGAAACTTTGATAATATCAAATAAATTATATGGATGTTAATTTTAAATCCTAAATTCATTTTTTATTTATTAACTGGGTTATACTCTTAAATATTAGCATTGAACATATAATTAGTTAAATATCAATTAAATTTTGATTATTGCTCAAATTAGAAAACAAAATTAGAAAATTTATTCCATAAGGACACCACATGCCATGCATTCTGGCGGGGGTGGCCGATCTCCACCGTCGATTACCACAAAAATATATTTTGGTGGGCCTCATTTTAACTTTATATATATATATATATTTGATCGCGGTGATCGACGGTAGAGATCTGACACCGCATGAATCTCTGCATGCGGTCTTCGTATGGAATAATTTCTCACAAAATTAATAAATAATTCGGATGAGAACCTAAAATCCACATGAAGCTAGGATTTTAATGTTGTACTCATTCAATTTTTTTTCATGTATATTAATAAAATTTGCTCCTATTAGGTTAAAATTTTATTAAAACACTTGTCAAAATTAAATTTTTTATTTAAAATTTTAGGGCGTCCTGAAATTCGACATGATATTATTCTACATCCTTATTTAGATTTCTCCAATTTTCAAATATTAATTAAAAATATTAAAAACCAATATTAAGATGAATTCAATAATTAATTAATCAAAACTTTTACCAAATCAAAGCGAATTTTGAATTTTTAAACAATAATTGAAATCTAATTTTGATTATTTAAATGCGCTGAAACAGTCCCAAAACAACAAGAAACGTATCATGTTAGGTATCTTGCTTCTTAATATTTTATTTATTTTTAATAATTTAAACTACGCAATTATTTTATTTATACCACTAAATTTCTATGTATTTACACATGTGACACCTAAGCTTTATTTTCTTACATTTATACCACTCCTATTTTTCATATCACATCAAAAATGTCACTATTTGTACATGCTTAGTTGTCACATATGTAAATAAATAGGAATTGAGGGGTAAATTTACATGCCTAGCACACAATTCTCATTTATTTACATATCTCTCACCCAAACTTTCATATTTACATTCTTAGCACTTGGGTGTATTTCACTTCTATAAAAAAAAAGGTAATACTGTTATTTTTTATGTGATGTTAAATTTTTGGAAAAAATATTACATTAGGACTCCGCACCTAGAGTTACGTGGAGAGTCCAATGAAATTACGTCGTGGATGTGATATGCCCGGTAACACCAGGGAATATTCTCCTTGTGTTATTCCATGTTATTTAGGTGTTATTATATTTTGGGAATATTCTCAGTATTATAATAATACAATAACACATCAATAATACTTGAATAATACACAATAACATCTGATTAACACATAATAACACTTGAATAATACGGGAGGGATATTCCCTTGTGTTACCAAACGTTTTTTTTTCTACGTGGGGTGACTTCATTGGACTCCGCACATAACTCTACGTGCAGAGTTCTGCTGTAATATTTTTCAAATTTTTGAGTGTTATGTGCGTAAAAATTGTTCAAAGAAAGTTTTCATCTTCCAAGTGGCAATTTTAGAATATGAGGGATTTTTACAAAGAGGTCCTTTTAACATTTGCAATGGCATCTTTAGTCTTATATTTTCTAAAAAATTATACATTACAATTTCTTAGAACATCTGCATAAATGAGAAAATAAGTTAAAAGGGTTAAATTGCAAATAACTAAATAACCAAAAATATGTTTGAATCATGTTGGAATAATATTTTTTTAAAAAAAAATTAATTATAATTGAACAATTTCAATAATGATTTAAGAAAGACCACATCATCTTTAAGTAATAATCAAATAAATTTTTTAAGGATGATTAAAAATTATTATTGAATAAGGATAAATTATTAGTCAAATTATTTTTTAATAATAATCAAATATTTTTTTAATAAAGATAAAATAATCTTTGAATAAGGATCAAATCACTATTAGAGTTGGATCAAAGTATCATTTTATGTGTTTAATTCAAATCTGTCCGACAGACCGTGCCCAAGGGATAGAATGTTGAGATCGAGGAAAGGAGATTGAGCGCGAGAGAGAAAGAAAGACAAGGTGAAGAGGAGGACTTGTCATCTCTGAGCAAAATGGGAAGTTCCCGGACTCGTAGACCCTTTTATTTGCATAAACCAAAGAGATTACAAGTGGGGGGAAATGGGGCCCCAATTACATGTCATAGCCCTCATATTTATAGAAACAAGATAGAAAAATTACAAAAGTACATTATTAACCTTGTTTTAAAGAGATAAGCGAAGGGCATTCAAATCTCCTTATTTTGGATCGTCAGATTACCTCGAGATCCATGCAAATTCAATCTTCAAAGAATCAATGATTAAATATAATAGAATAATGATTGAAATATTTTCTAAGAACTCTCAAATAAAATAATGAAGAGGGATATTTAGCCAATTTAGACTATTTATGGGGCACATACAATAAAATGTGATTATATTGAAGCTCAAGTACATTCATGTGCTTCCAATTGAATGCAACATATAACAAATCAATCAAAATTGTATGCACAGTCCAAATTTATTCTCTCCCAACAAATTACATGCATACCCCTCAATCCTTATGTACTAATAGGGTTGTCAATTTGGCTCGTTGTTCGTGAACAACTCGTGTTCGGCTCGTTAAGCAGCTCGTGTTCGGCTCGTTCGTTAAGCATAACGAGCCGAACACGAACAAAATTTTAAGCTCGAAATGTAAACCGGCTCGAAATGACTCGAAAAAAAAATTATATAACTTTTTATATAACAATATATTACATATATTATTTATATATAATATATTATATATATTTATGTCTAAATTTAAATCATAACATCTCATGTGGCAATGTGGTCAATGTCTATATATTTAATCCAGGTTCGAATCCCACACTTTACATCTATTTTTCTTAATTTTAGTTCAACGAGTCAATTCCAAGCCGAACAAGAACATACTGTTCACGAGCCGATTTCGAGCTATTTTAAACGAGCCGAACACGAGCCAAGCCCGAGCTCGCCCACCCGCGGCTCGTTTACCGCCCCATGCACTAATATACTAATACCAAAACTTTAAATTTTACATATATCCCCCTTAACTTATGAATGAAATTGTGTATTTCACTTTTTAAAAATTAAAATAATGAAATTTTCTATATGACATTAAAAATTTAAGCGATATATAAATAAAAATCAAAATTTAGATGTGTAGATATGTAAATACATAAGAATTAGGTGTTATGTACATAAATGTCCCTTTAAATTAATGTGCCAACACTAGCACCAAAAACTTCAAATTGTAAATTACTTAAATTGTCTTTTACAATTTTTATCTTTTTGCTGCGGTTTTATTTAATATTTTTTTCTTTTTTGTTTTTATTTTTTTTTTCTTTTTTGTTTTTATTTTTTTTTCTTTTAGTGGAAGTGGTGAAAATACCAAAAAGATGTTGAAATGAAAGCTTTGGATTCTTCTAAGTGGAACGGGTCATGCAATTTTATTTTTAGGAGTGTAAATGAGCTGACTTAATGTTCATATTTTGAATATATATATATATATA